CCTGCTGCTCCAGAGAAATTATCTTCAGAACGTCAAGAACATTGCACTATTTGGGGAAATGCACTGTAACTATCACCAGTCCCATGCATCTTCCTCAACCCCCTTGTGGCAGAAAAGAAAGGGAGAGACAGAGAGGAAACAGATGCATGGCCACAGAGCTACATTGTGATTCTTGATGAGGAGAGAAACAGCAGTTAGCTGTAAATGCTGTATATGCCATAGCTCTCTGAAGGGCATATGGGGAGGTACTGCCTATGAACTTGGAGGCAACTGTTATTCACCACAGGCAATTAAACTACTGCCTAAGTGCAAAGCTATGTTTGGTTCTGTCCCCTGCCCTCAGGATTCCCTGCTCTGGAGACTTAAAGAGCAGAACAGGGTCTTTGGACAATCTGTTGGGCAAATGTTTTCACAGGGAATATTTTTATCTTTCTCCCCGCCTTCAAACCCTGGATGAGAACTAGCGTTAAAGTGATGCCAGATGGTTAGGTGCACTTACCTGCACCCAGCATAACAGATGGATTACTAGTGTTGGTACAGCTGGTAATGGCAGCAATCACAACTGATCCGTGAGTGAGTTCAAACTCCTTGTCATTATAAACAAATTTCACATGGTTGCTCTGGCGCTCGGGGGCAATTTGAAAGCCTTTAAAACCTTGCTGCAGGGGAAAAACAAACACAGAAACAATGAGAATTTCAGTGACTAATGTTAAATAAAGAAGAGGCAGGCAATGAAATCACACTGTGTCTGCTGCTGGTAACTTCCATGGAGTAGAACAGCTAACAACTCTCCGTGGAACAGGACTCCCCTGACTCAGCAGAAAAGTCTATACATATTCTTTCTAACCTATTTAACATACATTAATATATAACGTATGCTATATATTCACGGTATGTACCTGTGTAGAAACACACCTTACCAGTTTAGATGAGGTCCACAGTAGGTTGCTTTGTCTTTCAGCAAAATTCTAAGTATTTCCCATGTCAAAATTGAACACTTCAAACTAGCCCCACCCCAAATTCATATAATAATCCTTGGCACATCAAAATCCCAAACAAAAACCCAACATTATAGGAAGGAAAGGGAGTAGATATCTCATGATTAGAGGTCCCATTGAAAAGCAGAGCAGGAAGGTTTAGAATGGCCTTGGTTAGAAGGTTTATAAAACTGACAGTGCTGTCCTTAAATAGAGTTATACCCTTCTAAGTCAACTGACTTAGTATAACTCTTGCTTAGGATAGTACTACAGGTAAGCAAGAGCAGCTCCACACAAATGACATATGAAAATGGTGGCAGGTAAGCAGAACATAATTTTAGATAATACACAGTGCACAAAACAGATAAGCTGGGGGGTGGGGGTGGACATAGAATTCACTGGCGAGGTTTCTCGTGAAAATGTTTGGGAACTATAAGCCAGTGTTGTCCAGTGGTCAGAGCATCAGACTAGGATCTCGGAGACCCAGGTTCAAATCCCCACTCTGCCATGGAAGCTCACTGGGTGACCTTGGGCCAGTCATTCTCTCTCAGCCTAACCCAGCTCACGAGTTCTTGCTATGAGGATAAAATGATGGGGAAAACAATGCATTTTATTTATTTCATTGATAGCCTGCCTTGTCTTGCTGAGACTCAAGCTGGCTCACACAAAGTTTAAAAAAGGCAATAAAAAAGGATGACAGCACACTGAGGAAAAAGCAGGGTATAAAATTTAAATAAAATCTGATATATATAAAAGCCCTGGTGTATTGGCACTTTCCAGCTCTCCCACTGGCTGTGCTCTGTGCTCCATCAGCCATTGGCCCATCAACCACCACTCAAGAGTACTCATGTGCCATTGGCTCAGTGCTGGGTCTGCTCCTCTGTCGCACCCACTGCCAGCCTGGCCACTGTTCCCTGTTTATTCTAACTGCCAAAATGGCTGTCTCTCCTCATGAAGAAGCTTCACCTCCTTGGCTCCCCCATGTCTGGCTGGCTACTAAGGTGGGCCAGTGGCCGACAAACCATTCTCTTCTCCTGCTGTGTGGCTCACTTTCCCCTCAGTGGCTGTTGCTAGGCAACCAAGCTTGGTTCTGTCAGTAAAAGGGCAAAGGCAGGCCTACTTTGGCCTTTGTGGGGAACTCACTGGGGCCAGTCCTGACTAGGGTTGCCAGCTCCAGGTTGGGAAATTCCTGAATATGTTGTGGTGGAGTATACAGAAGAGGCATCAGCTGAATAGAATGCCATAGACTCCACCCTCCAAACCAGTCACTTCCTCCTGGGAAACCATTGCTGCCAATCTCCAGGTGAGGGCTGGAGATCACTCAGAATCACAACTGCTCTTCAGATGGCAGAGATCAGTTCCCCTGGAGAAAATGGTGGACTCTGTATCATTATACCTTGCTGAGGTTGCCACAGCAAATTGACATGGAGTCCCAAAGGCCAGGGTACCCATCCAGAGCCTCTTTCTAGAGCTCAATGTATTTATTTCCACAATGGGCCTTATTCCTAGTACACACATAAATTCATACTAGGTTGAGACTGTCTGAAGCAGTTTTGCAAAAAACATAAAATGTAGCTGCAGGCTCAGAAAAGCTCAGAAAAGCTCTCACCTTGGCTCCTAAGCAGGTCTCAAAATCCTTCTTCATTTCGGAGACCTCCACTTTGTCCTGGGGCCTCTTTGGGCCACTGCAGCAAGGTACGACAGTCTTTAAATCCAACTCCACAATCTGTTGAGGAAAAACAGAGAACCTTCTGAGATGCAACCAAAGATGCAAGGCACTGTCCTCCACATTACTTCCAAAGCTCTAACTCAACAAAGTAACTTAAAATGTCTCAGCAGCATCATTTAAGAACATAAGAACAGCCATTTTAGATCAGACCAATCATCTATCTCATCTGGTATGCTGTGTGATGCCTCTAAGAAACCCAGAAGCAAAACACGGAGCCCCAAATCGGTCCCCTGTTTTCGCTCTACAGCATCTGGTATTCTTCAGATTACTGGCTCTGAACATGGATGTTCCAGTTAGCCATTATGGCTCATAGCCAGTGATGGACCTATCCTCCCTGAATGTGTCTGGACCCCCTCTAAAGATCCAGACCCATACAGCTGAACTAGTATTCTAATTACTCCACATTATCTATAGAGGCCCAGGTAGCAGCCACTGCCAGGGTGGCATTCTACCATCTTCGCTGGCTTGGCAGTTGGTTCCCTTTCTCGACCACGACGACCTAGCCACAGTGATCCATGCGACGGTCACCTCGAGGCTAGACCATTGTAACGCTCTCTACATGGGGCTGCCTTTGTCGCAAATCCAGAAGCTGCAGCTGGTGCAGAATGCTGCAGCCAGGGTGCTGATGGGCCTTCCTGGGGGGCACGCATCCAGCCTGTGCTGAAAGCGCTGCACTGGCTGCCGATAGCATACAGGATTCGCTTCAAAGTGCTGGTTCTTACCTTTAAAGCCCTAGATGGCCAGGGTCCGACATACCTACAGGACTGCCTCTCCCCATATGTTCCCCAACGAGCTCTACGGTCCGGGACTAAACATCTCCTGGTGGTTCCAGGTCCCAAAGAGGCCAGAGTGGTGACTAGGGCTAGGGCTTTTTCGGTGGCGGCTCCTACCTGATGGAATGAGCTCCCAGAGGAGATCCGGGCCCTGCGGGCCCTTGCACAGTTCCGCAGGGCCTGCAAGCCGGAGCTCTTCCACCAGGCGGCGGGGCCTGAAAGACGGAGCTCTTCCGCCAGGCGTTTGAGTAGGAGCCGCCATGACTGTTACCATCTGTCTATGACTATTACTATCTGTCCTAGCCCTTTATTACCAACTCGCCGTGAGCGCTAAAATGGTGGTACTGCGTGGAGCTGTGGCCACTAAGGATACCATCCTGATGAAGTCATCTGTTCCCTTGTTAGCTATTGTGGACGCCACCCTGAGCCCGTTCGCAGGGAGGGCGGGTTATAAATTTAAATAAATAAATAATAAATACTAGTAACATGCTATTATAGTAGGGGTGTTTGAATCTGAGAAACCCTATGGGAAAGAGAGACATGCTGCAAAAAAGCCCTCAGGAAAAGCCAGGTGCATCCAGTCTCCTGGGTGACTCCTGGGACACATAGTACCAGAGATGGAGGACAGATTCTACCCTTTCCAGCCAGGGATCTTGGCTAAAATTTCCATGCACAGGATTGTAAATTCCCAGTCTCCTTCTCCTACTCCAGCATGAAATATCCTTGGAGATGCTGTTCTGCAGGATGGAGGTACCCAAGAACAGTGGGGGGGGGGGATGCATTGGCCAAAAAACCCGACACCCCTGCCTTGTGCATCCAGATGATGCTTTGTTTCTGTTTCCAAAGAAAGAGGTTGCTAAACCCAGACTCAAGAAAGCCAAGATGAGGGCACGCCACTGTCCACCACATCTGCCCAAGATGTGATCAGCACTTTGCTAACCAGACAGCTGATAACAACTAACCTGAAGCTCCCTGCTTTCCCCCACCCTTATTCCACTGGAGATCCTTTGAATTTTATCTCCAAGACTCACGAAGCAACCAATGGAAACACTGGGGCATAATGTTGGGGAATGGTAAACTGGAATGTTTACAATGCCTCCAACCTGCATATTGCTTTGGGATTGCTATTTTTAAAATTAAAAAAGCAATGGCATTTCCTTTAAAACCAAACCAGAAGCAACCTAAGGCCTCTTTAATCAAGCCCCTGTGGCCAAGACTATTGCCAGAGCAGGATTCTGGAGCTAGGATAAAGCAAGGTTCCCTATACCACACTAGAGAGTTAGGTGAAACTGAAAACAAAAAGAAAAGGTACCCTGCCATTGCAATGAAGCTGAACTGTGACTCCAGTTCTCTGGGTCGGCAAATAGCCGTAGTATTATTAATTGTCTATCAGGTAGTTGTAAGATTTTGACTTCTTAATACTAGGTACTAGGGGCAGAAAGAGGAAAAGCTGTTGTCTTTATATCCTAAACTAGGGAGCAAAGCCCGTTGTGGACGGAGACAACGGGCGCCTAGACAGGTAGGGTGGGTGAGTGGGTGGGTGAAGGAAGGAAGGGGGGAGGGAGAAAGCTTCCTCCATCTGGCCGGGCGGGTTGGTGAAGGGAGGGAGAGAGAGAGAAAGTGGGGGGGGGGAGAGAGGAAGGAAGGAAGGAAGGAAGAAAGTCTCCCCTGTCTGTATGGCTTCCTGGGTGGGTTGGCAAAGTGGGGCGGGTGGGGGAGGGAAATCGGGGCGCGGCATGGGGCGCATTGCCACCGCACGCTCAGATGCAGCGCTCGCCTCCTGCCTCCCAGCCAATGGCAAGGCAGTAGCCTTGAGCAGCAGCTGGCCGACACGGCCAATGGAAGCTGGGGAAGCTTGTGACGGACAGCTGAAGCCTCCAAACACTGTCGGTGTGCATTTTCTCCCGGCTGCGTGAGGCTGCGTCTTATGCAATTATATATAAGGGAGATTTTCTACTGAATCCTTGGACTGGCCACTCGGTAACAGAATAATGGACTTAGAGAGACCTTTGGTCTGATCTAGTAAAGCACTTCCCATATTCTTACTAGGCAATACATGTTGGGATAGGGTTTTTTGGTTTTTTTGTTTTGGTAATCTCTCATCTGATCTGAATCTGTATGATGACATGATTCTACTTTTACTTTGCAACTGTGTGCTGGAGATGTAACTTAAAAAAATGAAGGCAAAGATTCTCAAACAGATGGAACAGGCTGTTCATCACAATCACTCGACAGATGACACCAAAATGAGGATCACTTTTACTATTATATCCAGTCTTCTTTCTCATATCAAATGAAATGGTACTATGATCTTTTGTGAAGAAAGCTCTAAAAAAGAGCAGAAAGCTAAAAGATTAAGAAAAATCTACCTGGGTAAAAGCTGGGTCCTGTGATGAATCACTAAAATCTCTGAACATTCCGACAGCCTGAAGGTATTTCCTTATATACTTAATCTTTTCGTCATCACGGCCTAAAGCGGACAGAAATCACCACTCAGTAAAATTACATTTAAAAGACAGAAATAAACCACTGAAATTTATAAGCAGGTTAATCAATTCAAACATTTTGACTAACTGAAAACACTGCCCTGGATTAACTTCTGTCTTTCTGCAGGTGCTTAACCTGGGCAGGGCCAGAGGGGTGAGCCCTGGGGCAGGAGCGGAAGGGCAGGAGCCAAAGGGCTCTTGGCTTGTGGCTCTTAGCCTGGGTCCTGCAATCAACCCAGATTAGGGTTGCCAGGTCCCTCCGGTCCACCAGTGGGCAGTGGGGGCGGGGTAGGGTTGCCAGATGCAGGCTGGGAAACTCCTGGAGATTTGGGGGTGGAGCCTGGGGGAGGACAAGGACCTCAGTGGGCTACCATGCCATAGAGTCCACCCTCCAAAGCATCAATTTTCTCCAGGGGAGCTGATCTCTGTAGTCTGGAGACAAGCTGTAATTCCAGGGGATCCCCAGGCCCCACCTGGAGACTGGCATCCCTAGCCCAGATTGTTTTGTTTTAATTTGTATTTTTGTCCTTGTAATTTGGAAGCTTTTTCTTCTTGAAAGCTGTTTTGGCTCCCTCTATAGAAAAAGCAGCCTAAAAACATGGAAATAAATAAATAAACTGGCAATGTTATTATTAATTTTTTTTTTAAATACGTTGTTAGAAAAACTGCAGAAGGAAGCACCATCCTAGAAGACGAATTCCCCCACTCAGTCTTACAGTGAAAGAAATGTCTTTTCTTAGAAGTTGCCAATGCATCATCTAATATCAAAGGAAAAAATTCTTCTTCCTCCCAATAACTATTGACATTTTTATGCAGATTTATGCAATTGGTTAACCAACCAGTCGATTAAAAGTACACACAACTGCAGTATTTTAGTTATCTGGCAACACTCAAAGGGATAAACATAATTTGAAACACACTAGCTTGCTTGCACTGGAGTTACATCAGTCAGCTACATATAAGCTCAAATCCCTTGTTTCCAGGAATCCAGATTCACTATATTTATATGCTGCCATTTTCCCAAAATGGAACTCAACAATATATATTGGGTTCACAGGACATCCTCCATCCAGCCAGAGTCAACCAGAGCTTGACTTCAACATGGCTGCTCTTTCTGATGTGACCCTCACACTTACCAGTCTGAACCAGGTACTGGATGCTAACTTCGTCCACAGGGAAGAAGGCTGCAGTTGCTCCATACTCTGGGCACATGTTGGCAATGGTGGCTCGATCAGCAATGGACAGGTGAGTGACCCCAGGCCCAAAGAACTCGACAAATTTACCCACAACCCCAACCTGGCGTAGATGCTGCAACAGATTATATATATAAGAAACACATTCAGTATCATTCGACATAACCTTATCCCAGACAACATAGAAGTGGCCAAACCAGAAGTGCCTCAGTGGTTTGTGTGATCATCCACCTATGGTTCATGTGACCATCCAAACATGAGACACTCCATTAATGACGGTTAGTTAGGGCCTGTGAAAGCAGGATCTGAAAACATGGCTTGAAGTTGATTTGTTAAACACAGTCTTAATTAGGGTTTCTTGTAATTTGTGAACTCCAGCACCCTGGCTTAATCCTTTCTTGTTTTGCAGTGCCATCCTTGTTTATGGTCGGGCTACAGAGATGCCTGGCCAGAGTGAAGACAATGTAGGGTTGCCAAGTCACTCACGGTTTAAAGCGGGGGATAGTTGGTACCACAGAGCTTTCAGGCTGATCGCTAGAGCGTCCGCCTGTGACGTGGACTGGCGGATTGGGGACCCTTTGAGCGGGGGAACCTCCACCCTCCCGGGGGACCTGGCAGCCCTAAGACAATGGGATGGATCCAGACTAAAAGGTCAATTGTCACCAAATCCCCTTTCCTATGGCACACTCCCTTCGTGTCATCCCGCAGGGTCTCCTGTCCCCCAGGAGCAGCACTTCATGGAGATCAGTGGACAGCAGCGGCGGGGGGGGGGGGGGAGAGAAGAAAACTTCCATTCTGCCCTTGGGAAATTTTGCCTGGATCCAACCTCATGAAACCAGCATTTGTTGACAATCCCTCCAATCCGAATTTTCATCCGCAAGATAAATCCTGCTTTCACAGACTAACCACAGCTTAAAATTAGCCACGATTTTATGTTACAATCGATTATTGCCATCCCCTCCCTCGAGCACACACACAATCAAGGACTGATTTGAATTTTTAAAAGCCACAAGACATTTGTCCTGATACTAATGTTGCCATTACTACTCGCCAAAAAACAGTACATTTAAACGTCCCCCAAAATGGGATGCACCCATGTCGAACATTTCTAAATGCCGTGAATAATTGACCTCAAGTATAAACATAAAGTAATGATCGGAAGCACAAAGCTTCGTGATCCTTCAGTTTTCTTCCCAGAATAAAATAAGCACACTGCATGGCAACTTTTGCTTAAACAGGATATTCAAACATTTAAAGTCATTTTAAAAGGACTTCTTGTGTCTGCAGCCTGCTCCGGCATGCTGTGTAACCTGAAGACATCTTTCTCGACAGTCATCTTTTTAAAATCATTCTAGTGTCTTGTCAGATGTTTTGTCCTGAAGAGATTCCCTCCCACCCAGCACTGCAGCAACTCAGAACAGTATGGCTTGCCTGAGGCGGCCTAATGAATTTGTGAATTATGGGAAATTTGAACACAGGACTTTCTGGCTCACTGCTCATGCATTTAGCCACCTGATGGTAATTATACCTGAAGGCCCTGAAGACCTGTCTACCATAAGCAAACCTCTGGATGGAGGACCACATCCTAGAAGATGGGCAACAGAAGGTATGAGTGGTGGCCAAGGTGTCACATTATTTTATTACCTTGGTAACAGTGAGCACGATGTCTGTGGATGTGACAAGCGGTTGAGGATTTCCTGTCAATCTGTAGCCAATCACTTCAGGAAGCACCATGCTGATTGGTTGGCCCAGCATCACAGCTTCTGCTTCAATGCCACCAACGCCTAAAGAGCAAAAAGGTAACTGTTAATGTGACTCTCTCCCTCCCCTGCAACCAGATAAGATCAGCACAAAAGCCTAATGAGGCGAGTGAACAGCAATACCTACAAGCAAGCGCTAATAGCAAAGCAGATTAACGATGGCACTGTACATACCCTTGGGACTTTGGTTTCCAGAAATGCTTGCCTACAGATGGGGATTTTGTGCATTTGTGACACTTCTTAAATTGCATTAAGCACTGCTGTAACTGGGTAGGCTAAGTCAAAGGTCAGCCTTGGATTTCTTGCATTTCTTCTTCTTGTCTGCCATGGAAACCGAAGGCTGCATGCATCTAAAGTACATCTGCTCTCCAGGACAAACCCTTCAAAGTTGTAGGACTTGGCACTGCATACCTGTTCCTGCTAACTGACCAGGCAACCACATTATATACCTTTAGGGAAAGCAAATCCCACCTGAAACTGGAAGAGACTTGAATGTGTGGTTTGTTGGAACTGCTGAGTCTGGGTTCTCTTTAAATGCTAGATTAGGCAAGTACTAGGTGAGATTTTAATTGGGTTTTAATCTCCAAGAGGTTTAATCTGCTTGGTGGGTTGCCATTCTGTGCTTATTATACTTTTATTATTGAAGCTTGGTTTGAAATATGTTGCAGCACGTCTGCAGTTTTTGGGATGGGACAGAATTTTTACAAAAGACTATCTATGCAATCCTAAAACAAGTTACATCCTTCGACGTCCATGAATGTCCTGGGAGGGTGTAACTCTGTTCATGATTGCACTGTAAGGGAATACATAGCGCAAGTCAATATACACCTAATCCCAAAGTAACCATTTCTTATCAAACATTATCCTTTGCAGGTCAATTTATTTACCTCTCCCATCTGGCTCCCCAATAGGGACCCCAAGCGGCTTACATAGTTCTCCTCATTTTATCCTCACAACAGCTCTGTGCAGCAGGTTAGGCTGAGAGTGTGTGATTGCCCCAAGGTCACCCAGCAAACTTCCATGGCAGAGTGAGCATTTGAACCAGCATTTCCCAGATCCTCATTTGATCTAACCACTAGACCACCCTGTGTCAGGGTCTCGTAAGCCTCCAGAGCGAGTGTCTCCTTTCCCACCTTACCTGCAGCAGATATGTTGTCAGTGCTGAACACCAAAAGATAAATCGGGGAGCCCATACAGGCAGCCATTTCACAACTCATTTGCTCACACATTTTACTCACTGGACATTTAGCAAAATCATCCTTAGCATCTGGCAAGATGATCCAGATGATGGAGCTGAAGCTACTGCAGGTAAAGATGGCTCAATGGGAGTAGTCTGGTTACCTGTCTGAGCTCAGGTTCTCTGCGTCTGATCCCACTTTACTTTACCAACAGTGACATCAGGCCAACACATCTCTTGGACACAGTGAGAGCAGAAAGAGTGAGATTCGCCCCAAGGAGACAGACCTTTTGCCCAGACCTCATTTCTTAACTGCCTTAAAGAAGTGTCCACATGACAACTGCACCAGCTCTGGTTCAAAGATTTACCATTCCCAATGTGAGAGTTGCCAAAGAGCTCTTCTCCATAACGGTGTTCCATGCGCAAGCAATAGATCTAAAAGCTCCTCATTACCGAAATTACTGAGCCACTGAGCTGTACTCATTTGGGCAGCTGAACTCAAAGCAAGACTTAGACGGCAAGTCTTACATGTACATGAAGGCACTATTATACTGGATTAGATCTCCATCCCATATAGCCCTCTGTAATCCAACTGGCAGCAGCCTTCGAGACAGAGGCACTTACCCCAGCCAAGCACTCCTAAGCCATTAATCATGGTGGTATGGGAATCAGTGCCCACGACACTGTCCGGATAGTAATATCCCTTCTGATCAAAGACCACTCTGGCCAAGTACTCTAAATTCACTTGATGGACAATCCCAGAGCCTGGGGGAATAATCCTCATGTTCTGGAAGGCTTGGGAGCCCCACTGAAACACAAAAGGGAAAAGGGAGAGATGTGAAAATGCAGGACCACAGCCAGCTAGTCAGTGCTCTCCTTGCTCACGTGTAAAAATTATGACGTGTCAGATAGTAATGGGGTATGAAAAATCACACAAACACATGGAATTGCCTTCTTCTGAGCTAGACTACCAGTCTATCGAAGTCCTTATTGTCTGCTGGCAGTGGCTTTCACACCACTAACTGCCTGAGCATTTTTTTTTTTTACACACCACTAACTGCCTGAGCATTTTTTTAAAAAAAAACAAACAAACCTGGAGACTGAACCTGGGACCTTCTGTGTTCAAAACACATGTTCTTCCACTTAGCTGCATCCCTGAGTCAAGAAGCTAAGGCTCTATCCTGGCTCTGCCCTCACGGTTATGCCTGCTCAAGACCCTTCCTGAAGGCCAGGATGTTTGGAAACAAATGCTGACCACTCTCGAGGCAACTCAGTTATTCCAGCTTTGTGTGCAAAAAGTGGAGTGTTCCTTCCTATACCTTTAAGAACTCAAATCTTTCTTTGTTCCTTTCAAACTCCAGATCTTGATTCTTCTGTAAACTGTCTGGCCTGCAAAAAGAAAAACAACAACAAAACAAGTATGGATATCAGAGTGATAACAGCTTCAACAGGATCTAGCACAGAAGCCAACGTGTGTGGGCAAAAAACAAACAAAGCCCGGTTTGTATTTCAGCTCAGCTGTTTCATGCACTTTAATTACCTTGCATCTGGGCGCTAGGAACAAGCTACAGAGAGAGCTTAAGTAGCTTTCATGGTAATTCCGACTGTCTGGCTCACGGGCTAATTCCACACTGAATGCAGGTATATTGGCAGAGTCTAGCCTCAACGTCAAAGGAACGGAAAGTTTTCTAAACCATCAATTATAAGCAAAAAGCATTCTTCTGGGGGTGGGGTGTGTGTGTGTGTGTGGGGAAAGTAATGCTCCTGCTGATCTGTAAAAATCTGTTAAGCGCTTTGAAAAACATACCACACAGTTCTTTTTATACCAGAAGCGCTGATGTTATCTTTCACCACTTGCATGAAGCAACAGGCAGTAGCCCTTTGATTGCCGTTACAACCCAGGATATGTCTCAGTTGTACAGCATCTGCTTTGCACACAGCAGGTCCCAGGTTCAGTCCCCAGTTTCTCCAGTGAAGAGGGTTGTGTAGACAGTGATGTGAAAGATCTTTTATCTGAGACCCTAGCAAGTACACAGTCAGAGCTGGCTATACTGGGAGATGAATTCGTAGCTTGGAGTTCAGGCATGTGGCTGTCGGCTGCCCCTCTCCCTCCCCTCCTGCAGGATTTGCAGGATCAGTCCTCCAGCTGATCAGCGGGCCACGTGCTCCTGCCAATCAGCTGGAGGACCCTTTGGGTCTCACGGGAAGGGAGGGAGAGAGGTGGCCACTGGTGCCTGGGGCTTCTCCTGCCGGCCAGCTGGCTGGGGGCAGGCAGGAGTGCACAAAATCGTAGGATCCCCCTCCCCCTCCTGGGGACTGGCATCCCTACTGAGCAGGGGGTTGGACTAGAGAGTCTGTATAGCTCCTTCCAACTCTGTGTGATTCTCTGATTCTATTCTATGATTTACCAAAGGTCTGACTCGGTATAAGACAGCAACACAAAAGAAAGAGCACAAACCCAACCCAAAATGGCATTGGATACCTAAAAGGTTGAAGGTACAAGCATATATATATATATACACACACACACATATATATGATTAAACAAAATATTTAATATTACAGTGCACTTGAATAGTTCATTAAAAACAAAACATGCGTTTAGGACACACACCGGGCAGTACGCATTACAAACAATGCAGTATACTACTAGTGGCGCTGACTGTAAACGATAAGCCAGTGAAATTGGATCAGATGTGTTTCGGCCATAAGGGCCTTCTTCAGTGGTCACAATTTAATTCCACATACACACTATACAAAACAATCTGTATCACAGTAAAGCTTTTAAGGTCATGTGGGTACATTCCAAAATAATTCAAGTGTCACAAAACTACTCTGTGGGACTATCACATTTAGCTACATATCTTTATAGCCACACCAAAGGGAATGTGAGATGATATACTAATACGGAGTACAACCATTCCTTCACCCAGTGTGCATATGTGTCCTGCAACAGTAAATTCAGAAACAGTATAAGACAGCTTCATGAAATAAATGAAATAAATTGTTGGCAAATTTGTTTTCAGACAGCCATCTTTTACAAACAACTGTCAGATTTTTGTCCCATATGGCACCCACTGATAAGAAAAATAATAGTGCAAGTGAAGTACAAGCACTGTGGAAAGGATCTAAAGAGCTAATTGGGTTTACATAGTGGAACTGTTGGCTTCTCTTCCTCTTTGACTAGCAGACCTGTTACCAGTTTGGCTCTCAAAAGCTCAGATCCTGAAACTCAGGCTGGTCTCTAGGACGCTACTGGACTCAACTCTAACTGCTTTACTGCAGACCAACACGGCGACCCTCTGAAACGATCTGAACTCCAAGGAAACAGTAAAGACATAAGTCTCTGACAGAGTAGTTCTCAGGATCTCTGTGTGAAGCTACTGCACTTTTGCAGGTGGGGAGGTAGGCGACTGAGAGCTGAATTATAAGAGATATCACAAATGGCTCCCCTTCCCATCTTTGAGTTCACTGTTTAAATATCCCAGCTTCACTCATCTTTAGCATCTTTAGGTAAAGGCCTAGATTGCAGGAAAACCCAAATAAGGGAGGGGAGGGGGAGGGGTTGTGGCTTAGTGGAAGTGCTTCTGCTTTGCAAACAGAAGGTCTCAGGTTCAATCCCCTGCATCTCCAGTTAAAAGGACCAAGCAGTAGGGGATATGAAAGACCTCTGCCTGAGACCCTGGAGAGCTGCTGCTAGTCTGAGTTGACAGTACTGACCCTGATGGACCAATTATCTGATTCAGTATAAGCCGGCTTTGTGTATGTCCATTAAGAGTCCAAAGAATACGATTCGATCATGCTTGTGGTCAGGGGTCATTTCGTAGAAAAAGAGGTGCAGGAGCTCATTAGCAGAGCTCATTAGCATAGCTTATTTGCATATGCAACGCCCTCTGACATCACCGGACCTCTGACATCACCCACCGCTCAGGCTCCACGGGATTGTTTTGGATTGCTAGCTATTGGGGGGGGGGACGTGCAGATCTGCCCTCACAGAGGAGGGAGAGTTTATACCTGAATAAAACTTGGTCTTAAAGGTGCCACTGGACTCCTTTGGATTGCTAGCTATGAAGGGGGGGAATGAGCAGATCTGTCCTCACAGAGGAGGGAGAGCTTGTACCTGAAGGTGGGCCAGGGGGGTTGGGGCTCTGCAACTTACCTGACTGCTTCTTGCTCCTCGTGGCCCGACTGAGGGCTGCTTGGAACCAGGGGTGGGGCTTGGTGCATGTGCCCGCCCCCTGGGCTCCTTACTGCCGGAGCTCCGCTCCTGTGCGCTCCCGCAGGAAATGACCCCTGCTTGTGGTAAGAGCTGCAACTTACCTCCGGTTAAAGTCAACCTGGATGGAATGGTCAATGACTAAATCAGCAGGACAGATAGGGTTGATTTTTTCTGGATCTCCTCCTAGCACCTTCACGGCATCACGCATAGCAGCAAAATCAACCACTGCAGGGACGCCCCTGTAATAGAAAAGTCCAACAAAGGGAGGGAGGTTTATGAGCCAGCAGCCCACTTGGGGGGCCATACTGATTTGCAATTCAGATCTTACATCAAAACACAAAACAGTAGCAGTTATGGTAGGCCAAAATGTGTAGATATTCAGGATGCTAAAGGGATATCATTGTGAGGTGCCATTCTATACGGCCAAGGGCAGGACAAATAAAAAAGGCATTGTGACGATGCAGCCTGAAGTGCGAACAGCCTGTATGCACATCAGCTCCGTGCACAAAGAAAAAGGAGCACACACAGGCTGGAGGGTGGGATCAGCAGGCACTATCATGATACTTCCTCCCCGCATTTATTATGCCTCATTTATAGTGTTGTTAAGATATAGCCACAGATTTCTCTTATTCTCATTTTTGGTCTTTTCAAGGACGGGTTTCTCTTTTATTTCTTAATGTAGAAAAAACAATGTACACTTTCGTAACTTCAGCCCTTGCAGTTGTTTTATCTTATGTGTCACAGGATAATGCTCCAGCAGGAGGACAGGAAGGCCTGCAAAGACACTGCCAGCCTCTGAGCATCTACGGAGTGAAATTCTGAAATTTCTGCCGAACCTTCCTTCCTGCCCCTCTTCTTTTCGAAATTCTCTTTGATCGAAACAGACCTGATCCGACACTGACTCCAAATTCGTAAAAAGAGGAAAAGAAATCAACTGCTATATTTCTGAGAGAAAGCGGATGAAGAGGGATTAAAAGGATTTCTCTTCATAATGCTACTAGTTTTGCACTGTGTACGTGGGACGAGTGCTCAGTGATTTAGGATTTAGCACATCTAACATTGATAAAAATACTCTTTCTAGCATTACATTTAATGAAAAGGAACTGAAACAGACAGCGGAAACCAGGTCTGCAATATTTTTAACCTCCATTAATGCATAGGGTTGCCAAATCCAGCCTGAGAAATTCCTGAAGATTTGGTGGGCGGCGCTTGTGGAGGGGGGAGGGAACTTGGAGAGGAACTGCATGTAGAATCCATGGTATGCTGTGCATTCTGAAGCCGCCATTTTCTCCAGGGGAACTGATCTCTGTAGTCCATAGATTAGTTGTGCTTCCAGGAGAACTCCAGGCCCCACCTGCCGGGTTGCCAGGTCTCCCCTGGCCACCAGTGAGGGATGGGTGTGTGTGTTAGGGCTGACAGATCCAGGGTTGAAAAAATCCTGGAGGTTTGGGGATAGAGCCTGGGGAGGACAGGGACCTCAGTGGGGTAATGCCACAGGGTCCATTCTCCAAAGTGCCCATTTTCTCCAGGAGATCTGATCTCTGTAGTCTGGAGATGAGCTGTAATTCCGGGGAATCCCCAGGTCCCACCTGGAGGCTGGCATCCCCTACCCACCAGAAAGTCAGCAGCCCTATTAATACATCAGTCAACTAGAGCTGCACTTGAATAATTTGTGACGAATGCTAGAGTTAAGGAACTGCTTTATTCTTAAAGTCTATTTTGGATCATGTCTGTTACTGTAAAAAGGAATAAAAATGTCTGAGGTGGCCTGCCTTTCTAAAAATGGGGTTCATCTTTGTTTATTCAGTTTGAAGTTCTTTCACACATTACTCAAAGTTCCCCTATTGTGGCCCAGATAATATAAATATCTATTTATTCATGATTTTATGTTCTGCCTTTCTTCTAAAAAAAAACACGCCTAAGGCAGCTAAAAAAATCACTCCAAAGGCAGATGAAATCATAGACAAATAATCACTGCCAATTAAAGCAATAAAACGAATCAATCAAGAAAAGGTAATATACTTGTAAAAGAGTAGCTGCCTTCAGCACATACATTATTAGAATGGATGAACTGGACGAACAACCTGCTGCCTAAGGGATCATTACATCAGATTTGAATTGACGAGGAGGATATGGCTCAGTAGCAGAACCTCTGCTTAGCATGTAGAAGGTCCCAGATTCAACCCCCAGCATCTCCAGTAGGGTCACCAGTCTGGGTTGAGAAATACCTAGAGATTTTGGGGATGGAGCCTGAGGAAGGCAGGATTTGGGGATGGCAATGACCTCAGCAGGGTATAATGCCATGGAATCCACCCTCCAAAGCAGCCATTTTCTCCAGGGGAACTGATCTTGGTTGCCTGGAGATTAATTGTAATAGTGGGAGATCTCCAGGTGCCATCTGGAGGTTGGTGACCGTAATCTCTAGTTAAAAGCACGGGATAGTGGGTGATGCGAAAGACCATCATCAAAGAATTTGGAGAGCTACTGCCAGTCTGAGTAGACAACACTGACCTTAATGAACCAAGGGACTGGTTGAGTATAAGGAGCCTTCATGTGACAAAGATCTCCAAATATCTGATTAAAATACAAATGATTCATCATTGTATGGCCCTAACAGGAACTCATTTTCTGGTTTTGTTACAGACTCTCCATGCTACCTCTCAGATCAGGTCACATCTGATGCTCAAGTTTTTAAAAGTGATTTGAAGCAAGAACTAGTCCCCACTACATAAATAGATCCAGATTATAAAATCTGCATAGGACAGCCTTGGTGGTGGAATGTGCCCTCAAGTAACAGCTGAACTATGGTGATCCCATAGGGTTTTCAAGGCCAGAGATGAACAGAGGTGGGCTGCCATCTCCTGCCTCTGCATAGCAACTCTGGGCTTCCTTGGTGGTCTCCCATCCAAGCACTAACCAGGGCTGATGTTTCTTAGCTCCCGTGATCTGATGAGACCAGGGCAGCCGGCACCATTCCAGGGCAGGGCAGGCCAGCCTTACAGGCCGGGAATTAAAAAGTGCATGGTTTTTAATTTGCATGCTAGTCAAACTGACTTGCTGGTTAAGGAAGGGATGAACTCTTCAAGGTCATATTTAGGGGATGAATTAAATAGTGTGTGTCATTTTAAAAGACCCTAATGGTTAACCAAAGACAATTCCATTATTAGGGTTGCCAGCAATGTTCCCTCTAAGCTGAGTTAGTGTGAGCTAGCTCACAGTTTTTTAGCCTCCGGCTCACACATTTTTGTCTTTGCTCAGAAAGGATGGCTCCAGAGCAAACTAATTGATGCAGTAGCCAAATCGCTCGCTCACCACTTTAATGCCAGTAGCTCACAAAGTTGAATTTTTGCTCACAAGACTCCACAGCTTAGAGGGAATATTGGTTGCCAGTTCCTGGTTGGGAAATACCTGGAGATGTTGGGGGGTGGGTCATGGAGAGGGACCTCAGCCGGGTGTAATGCATAGAGTCCACCCTCCAAAGCAGCCACTTGCTCCAGGGGAACCGATCTTGGTTGTCTGGAGATCAACTGTAATAGCGGGAGGGCTCCAGGTGCCATCTGGAGGTTGGCAACAGTATCCATTATTCAGATAATGGTTTGATCTAGGCTAAATTTTCCACACACAGAAGGCATATTTGTTAGGGTAACAAAATATCCCCAACCCCACCCTATATAGCTCAATGTTCCTCTTGAAATGCTGTTCCTATGGGACCCTCAAGAACGGCAGTGGGGCAAATCGGGGTGGGGGAGGTAGGAACATCCTGTTCCCCTTCCATAAGTAGAAAATTTAGTCTGGATCCAACCCAATTTTTCCAGTATGTGTTCTTTCTGGGGTCTAGCAAAAGCTTAACAAAACATTTGTTAGGGGAAGCTATGTGTGGCTATAAAGTACCTTTGCTAGGATTGGCTAAAGCAACCCACAGCCGTCTGGAACAGTTTCAGAAAGATTTACTTAACTTAGAAAAGTTAAGCTATTGGTTTCCTTAAGACCACACAACAAGATAAAGCCAGGCTTGGAAAAGAAACACCAAATCCTGGCAGTCTCTGTCCTGTATTCTAATACTACAATAGATGTTTGTATTTCCTTTAGCCACAAGAAATAAACTTGCAAGTTCCTTGGAAAACAGGCAGGTTTCGCTGTCTTTGTTCTGTCCCAGGTTGCGAGGATCAGATCTTCACCGCACAGCATTTTAAATGCTACTTGGAGAAAAGAAGATAACATTTAAAAGGTCAGTGTCTACAAGATCTAGTGGGGTAAAGTTTTCTTAAACTGTATCAGTTCATGTTGCAGGGATTTTGTGTTTGTGCAAGCATGCATGCCTATGGGTGTGAAAGAGAACACTACATGTTTGAATGCTGTCCCACAAAAAAACTCTCCCTGTGCACTAAAAACCAATACATGGTAAGAAGGTAGTTAGGTTGAATCCTCCTCGCTGACCTGCGCACTTTCTACATGTAGCCGTATTTACTATATGCAGCAGGCAACTCCCACCCCATCTAAACCCTGAAGTGGTACACTCCAGGGAAAAAAGATTACCATTTGATTGTGCTGACTGGATGAGCCAACCAAATTCTAGAGTCCTGTATTTGGTGGTGGCATCCTTGATGAGGCCCTAGCATGAATTCAGGATTGGGGGAAAAAAAAACATTTCTCCCTATACCAAACTAAAGTGGACACTGAAGAAGGGAGGGAGTTGGCTTTGTAGTACAACGAAGGTCTACAGGGACATCTGGGGCAGGACAATGAGTGTGGGGAACACTGGCTATGCTCAAGACATTCACACATACACCTCACCCCTGCAAATGTGCAACCTATATTGGAAGCTTGTTGCTCTCTCCATACAGAGAGAATGAAGGAGGGGAGAGAATGTTTCTTGGGTGTGATGAACAGGAACTGAGAACAGGAAGCAAGAATCAACTGAACTTCCTCAGCCACTCACAACTGCATTTGCCACATCCAAAATGGCTTGGGATTGGTTTACCTGGAACTTGGTTGCCTAGAGTGTCTTTGCTTTTATTGTAACCAGGTCCTTTAGGAGAGAGGTGGGATAGAACTGTTTTAAACAAGCGAACATCAGTCTTTGTTTCATAACTTATTCCCTGACATACAAGACAAGAAGGGTGTCATTTCACGTAATTCATCTGCTGCCACACTCAGGAACCGGTGGCCTTAGAAGGCAGAGATTACAGCCCTTCACTTGAATTCCTTTTACATTTTCAAGGCTGAATGGTAAATAGCTTGGGGGCTGTGGCGTAGCAGTGGAGTCGCATGAAATTTAGGGAGTCTGTGCCCACTGCAGAACTTCCTGTTCCTTTCTTTGCAGTTTTCAAGTGCTCATCCGGCTGAGGTAAAGCACAATCCTTCCCTCCCCTCTATTGGGAGGGTGAGATGGGCAGACATCTTTGGATGTGGAACCCCTTTAAAAGCCTTCTTTGTTTCCCTGCCCCATCTTGCCATCACTATATTTCCTCGCCTGAGCTATAGTATACCAGGGTCTGAAACCTTTGTGGGAGATGATCATTATGGGAAGAGGATTTGGAGAAATGAATATACTTAATATGAATGGAATTGACATCTCTGTGGGAAATGATAGGTTTCTGGTTGAGTGGTTGTAATGTATTCAATAGCTGCCATTGCAATATATGAATCATCTAATTGGCTTGCCATGTAAAGCTTCGTCCTGGGCTAGGATCCAAATCCATCCAATCACATTGCTAGCCCAGGAAGAACCAACCAATCATTGGTCAGCAAGCTCCCTGAGCGGGAACGTCCGTGATTGGTCCTTATGTATACAACCTTATTGGTTGATAATTGTATAGTAGGCGTGGCTACATTAGCCGGGAGAGTTTAAAAAGGGAACAGCTTTAATGCAAAAGCTGTTCTGGCTATCAGATGTTGATCTGTGTTTGAGTTGTGTTCGAGTTGTTGAAAAAAGCTGAATCTTTGCTGAATCACTCTCCGACTACTTTGTTAAGCGAGCGACTTAACAGTGGTGAACCAGGGCCCTGAATTAATTTGAGTCTGGCACTCTGACTTGTCAGCAATTCAGGATGGCTGCAGTGAACTCTTCATCCTTTTCTACTCTGAACAGCATTGGCTTAACCAACTGGCTGTGTTTTGGTTATGTTACTTCAGCTGAACAGGACAGGACAATTTTCAAGACTCACCAAGCTTGCAATTATGGGATTCCTTCTCGGTCAGTCTCTACATATTTTCACTGATGGAAATTGATCTGTTTCATGGCTGGAAATACAGTTATGAAGGCTAACTACAGGGAAACCTTGAATGCCCTTATCTACAAGGAATGTAAAGTAAGTTGTGATAATTATAGAGGACTCAAGTATGATGAAAGCAACTCAGATTTCTTGTGTATGGCAGGAACATACAGAAGCCCACACAAGATAGTCAGTTTTTATGACAATCATCCAGTAGTCCATTCCTGGAAAGAGTAAGTGTGTGTGTGCTTTCTTTGAGTTGTAACTTCCCTCCAAATCCAGCCCCAAGAACCAGGGGCCCCTCAGAGAGGCATATGAAAAAAGAAGAATAAGGTCCAGTTCCAGTATACATGCACTGACCTCTTTAAATATAGGTCATTTACTTTAACCAGTGAATGTTTAGAGGAGAGGCCACCTGCTTCCAGGCATCTGGGAAGAAGGATGAGCAAGAGGTGTGATAAAATGGCTGCCGGAGTGAGTTAGTGTCTCTGGGCCTAAGCTGTATGAAATTTAGAACAGGCACTTTGGTTTTCTTCATAAAACAAGGGGTCAGGTCTCTTGGGAGGAGGGAATCTCTAAGCTCTACTGCAGCACCCCTTGCTATGAAAACGCAGAGTCAGAGGGCTTCAGTCTGTGCTGACCTTTATACATTTTTAAATTAATGTTATTAAGCTTTTAATCAAAATACATAAAAGGGAATACACAGAAAGCAGAATTAAGAAAAATCATAGAGAGAAAAAAGAAAGAAAAGGAAAAAAGGGAATATATTTCTATTTTCATCTACGATTGGTACACCTTAATTCTCTATTAACTTTCTCTATAGATCCATAAAAGAAAAAAGAACCCTCTCTTTTATCTTTAATTCCTTCTTTCCCTCTTATTCTTCATACATTCATTCACCCCCCCCCACCCCCCCCCGTTTCCAGCAAAAAATCCATCAGGGGTCTTACCTTTAAACATTTTGACTAGTTACAATGATTGTGGGAACAGCAGAACAGTGTTACTACATTTCATTTTTTAAAAATAATGCACATTCTAATATTCTAACAAATGCACATTACAAATACAAGAAATGCTGACTGGCCAAAGCTTTGATTTAAGAGTTACATGTAGAAAAGGGTTTCCACTCTGAAATACCACTGAATGTACTGCCATCAAAAACGTTCTCTGTCATCTTCGTCTAAAAGGTCAAAGAACAGCAAACTCTGGATTCAAATGACGTACAATGAGTTACTTTTTCACCTGAAGGTCTGTTTATCTAACCCAAAACAGTTTGTCACAAACTCCATTTTGGAGGTAACAGATTCCGCACAAAAAAACCAATTTCTTAGCTTTAGATTTGCATTTTGTCAAATATTACCTGCTGCTACCACAAGCCTCCAATGTCATAAAGCTAACTCATCTATTGACTTCAATATGTTGGAACAAGCAAGCTCACAGGACTCCATAATTCCCTCTCCCTTAGGTAAAAGGTAAAGGTAAAAGTTCCCTTGCTCGAAAGCCAGTCGAATGCGACTCTAGGGTTGCAGTGCTCATCTCCGTTTCAAAGCCGAAGAGCCAGCGCTGTCTGAAGACATTTCCATGGTCATGTGGCCGGCATGACTAAACACCAAGGTGCATGGAATGCTGTTACCTTCCCACCAAAGTGGTACCGTACCTATTTAGTTACTCTATTTATCTACTTGCAATTTCTTGCTTTCGAACTGTTAAGTTGGCAGGAGCTGGAACTAGAGACAGGAGCTCACTCCGTCATGCGGCACACTTGGGTCTCGAACTGCTGAACTACAGACCTTCCACAGCTTGCAGTTCAGCATCTTAACCACTTGAGCCACCCTTAGGTACTCCCAGGTAAAACACTCTGAAAAAAATGTTGCCCAGAATCTGGAATTGGCTTATTTCAAAGCCACAAACAAGCGAAATTCAGAACACAAAAAAACCCCTCAGGATAGTTTTGCTTTCTGATAAAAAAGCACTTTAGTTTTTATTTTATTATTTCCTCAAGGGTTTCATTATTTTTAGGTCTGCTAACTTGGCCTAGATGGAATGTGTACCTAAAAAAGGTCTCTTGTAACTGGGCTTTGTATTTTTTGAAAGTCTCTCAATAAGGGCAGTGCTACACATCACAAAACACATGGGTCTACCACCAAAAGTGGCATCTCTGTCAAATTCTTTCTGCTAAAATTTATCCAAATGTCAGGATCTCCTCAGGCTTCACATTTCCCCATTACCAGCATCTTATGATGGGGAGTGGGGACAAGGCAACAAGCAATGTGATCACATAAGAATACAGAATTAACTTTTACTACACGTTAGAGAGAGAGGAAGCAGCGGGGAGAAGAACATGTCACAGAGATGTCATTTTTATTTTCTTTAATGCCTTTAAGATGAAAAAACAAAAAAAATCAGACTTTCTGGATGTAGTTTTTTCTTAAAGAGCATTCATGTGCTTTGTGTTTTTACAAATGCTGTTTACCTAATGGGTTAGACTTTGAATTCAGCAAGCAATGGGTTAGAGACAACAATGGAAAATGTCACAGTTTCCTTTGGCTCAGATTAATATGTATGGTTCCGATTTGCTAAGATCTGATTTTGCAGGCAAGAATAAACAAAGAAGACAACCATTTAAGTTGCATAATAAAAAAAGAAAAGAAAAACATGTAACTGATATATTGGGAACACAAGGGAAATTCACGATCAGCAGGCCGCCAATTAGCAACATGGTCTGTCAAGTAAACACGCTGCTGTAAAACAAAGCATGATCAAACCCTTCTTAATCACATTTTAATTTAATTTATTACTACACAGACTGAAAGTGGCAGTGTACCATTTTTAGGGATGTTCAATCCAACTATAATTTAACTCTGGCACGGGAACACATCTCTATCCAATTCTGTCCTCCCCTTCTTAAACAAACAAAACTAACAACTGCCCCCCCCCAAGAACACAAACACAAACAACAATACAGTTGGTGCTGCTTATTGTAGGATCCACCTCAGTCTGGTCTGAATTGGTTTTGAAACCACAGCAAACTAGTTGAAAGCACTGAATTAAGACTACACTGAAAGGTACTGTTTTCCATAGGTGCTTCCCTTGAATGATTGCTCTTACTGTCCAGTAACACCATGGCCTCAGTACATAACTTCCAATGAAAAATGCTCAGCCAGTCAGCTTTGGCACGCACTAAGAGGTTATGTGACAGTTCCTGGTGCATGCAATGTGCACTGGCTCATCGCATGGCACAACAACTGGCCAACGATATCCAGGTGAGATGTTATGCTGAAACACATCTGAGCACCATGTTAGCAGCCGCACGATCCCCTTGGAGTGTGCTGTTGGAGCATTAACAGGATGTAAATTGTCACAGGAGCCATCTTTTGCAGAAGAAGAAGAAGAGAAGAGATTGGATTTATACCCTGCCCTTCACTACCCAAAGGAGTCTCAGAGCGGCTTACAAACTCCTTTCCCTTCCCCTTCCCACAACAGACACCCTGTGAGGTAGGTGGGAATGAGAGAGCTCTGATAGAAACTGCTCTTTTTCAAGGACAGCTCTTATCAGAACTACGGCTTGCCCAAGGTCATCCAGCCAGGTGCGAGTGGAGGAGTGGGGAATCAAACCCAGTTCTCCCAGATTAGAGTCCGCGCACTTAAACACTATGCAACTCACCCTTGTTTGTCAAAATCTCCCTAAACATAAAACTACAAGTCATTTTATGTCCTCTTCTCCTCAGAAAATGATTGCAATTTGATAGTGAAAATTTCCTAAAATTCTTGTTAAATGTTGTATCACTTACGTAAAGTCTTGCAGGATAACCCGAGCAGGCTTAAACGGCACTTCAATGACTTTGTGTTGCATTATGTTCCAATTCAGAATGTTTTCAACATCGTCCTTTTTCACGAGGAACTCATCACAGTTGCGGACTGCTGCCTCCAGCAAGACTCTGATAGAAAACGGCAAGCGTTCTAGAGAAATAGAATAAAGACATAATGAAAACAAAGTATTTCCTTCTCAGCTGCCACACCAGATCTGTTTTTTCAGACATTTGCATTACCATCTAGAAAGTATGTCTGTTTCTAGCATGGGGAGGGCAAAACTATATGCATCTGTAAAATATATACTCGGGGGAGGGGGGGAAGGGGGTCAGTTCCCCAAGAAGAGTTGTATTTTTGCAGCAATGAAGAATGGAACATGAAGGCCACATTGAAATATGATGAAAAACCATGACTTCTCATGGGTTGGATCTAATGGAAGCACTGAAATTAGACTGTTTGCGCAGTGAAAGTGACTGTACCCATCCTATCCTTTCTGCTTGCGCAAGCCAGAGCACAAGGCATCTCTTCTGATAGAATTTCAAAAGCAAATTAAATGGAATTATGTAAACCACCTGTTGTGCATGCTATTACTCGATGTGCACATTGGGGTTTTTTCATTTAAAATTATATTGAAATACAGTGTGTTGCTACAGCTTTTGTGCTACTGGGGCCAACGCATAAATCTTCTGTTTCTGAGTTACATGCCAGGCAAAGGCGGAGACAAGCCCATGGGTTGCCAGGATGCGTTCCCATAGTGACATACAGTCCTCCCTCTAAGCTGAGTTAGTGTGAGCTAGCTCACAGTTTTTTAGCCTCCGGCTCACACATTTTTGCCTTAGCTCAGGAAGGACAGCTCCAGAGCAAACTAATTTATGCAGTAGCCAAATCGCTCACTCACAACTATAAAGCCAGTAGCTCACGCTCACAAAGTAGAATTTTTGCTCAGACTCCACAGCTTAGAGGGAACATTGGTGACATGGGTTCTTGTCATGCCTGAAGGTGGTCATAAACCATGAAGGGGAAATCTCTCTAAAAATGTATTCTAACCACTTAAGTGTACCACTTACAACACAGTTCTATGATAAGCTAAATTTTATCAAGTTAATACTGAGAAAAGAAAATATTCCGAAAAGAAAATATTCCACAAAACAAGGCTAAATAAAGAACACCATAATGACACAGATGAGTACTTCAATATTTGCTATTTGTCTTCTAACATGACCAAGAGAAACTATTCAATAAAACACTTCAGTCAATCCAGTCATACAATCTTTTTCTTTCAATTCTTTCCCAACATTAAAAGTTCTATTTTCCTCTTATGTTAATTAAAAAAGATCTTTTATGTATTCCAGTACTTCTTGCAGGTTGCACTCGTTCCCAAAGTGGGCAATACCTCCCCCTTGGAGGTGCTGGAATGATCCAGGTGGGCTGGAATGATCGAGGTACAGATCCACAAACTGCATCTTTTTGTCCACTTCTTGAAGGTAGATGTCAAGGGGGGCACTGAGTATTTTTTTTTCCTGAAAAGGACATGGTAGGTCAAATGTTTGGGAACCTCTGGTTCCTCAAATTGATTTCTGGGTTTTCACCACAACTTGATTCTAAAAAGTCCCTGTAGGACACCAGGCCACATATGAATAAAGTAGGTTCATTAACCACAGTTAATCTTAACTACTGTTCTGAATGATGTACAAACGAGGAGGTTCTGACCAGTTTCCTGGCACTGCCCTTGCAACAGTGCACGTAGGGATACCAGGAAATCTCTGCAGAGAGGAGGGGACAAAACAAAGGCAATGAAACCAGCATTTCTCAAGACAAACCAGGGTTTGAATGATCATCGGCAAGTTAAATCCTAGGCTCCATCCACATATCATTGGATATTGTTACTCAAAACTGGATTCTCCTGTGTGGATCAGGCAAGCCAAGAGGTGAACAACTGCAGCAGTGCAGTAGTATTCACCTTGGAGAGAGCCACATTCACAATTACCCTCAAGCAAAAGAGCCACATTTACTTCCAAACCTAACATGAGGGCTCAGCCTCGGGGAGATTCAGAGCATATCCATTCCTCTGGCAGGAACTCTTCCAAGATGGGAACCAACTACCAACCACAAGCTCCACCAACCAAGGGTCTAGCCTACTTTCCTGAACATGAGGCAGGTGCCACATTGGAGAATGGTGCTCAGAAGAGCCAAAAGTGGCATGTCAAAGAGCCACATTTGGCCCCTGAAATACTGAGTACTGCTGCTATAGCACACTGACAGCATGCTATCCACCAATGTATGGATGTATCCCTGCTGCTGTAAAACTAATTACAGTTAAAAGAAAGCATAATGGTTTTGCATTAGGTCTGAACTGAGCCACAGTTATGAAGCATACTGACATACTGAGTAGCCAACATACCATATCTTGGGTCGCCCAAGTGGTTCAAATTGAAGAATTTCTTCTCAGGCTGGCTGGCATCCAGCGGCTCCACAATCCGGGAAAAGGGTTTAGTCATGGCTGAAAGATCTTGACGTCTCTGCGAATACAAGATGGAGTCATCTCACTGGATTAGTCTTTTTATTTTAAAAAAGCCATTTTTCATTTGCAACACTCTCTATCTTTTCTAATTATATTTATAACTAGGAATAAGGCCCGTTGTGGAAATAAATACAACAAGCTCTAGAAAGAGGCTCTGGGGAGTGCCCTAGCTTTGGGCACTCAGTGGCAATTTGCTGTGGTGACCTCAGCAGGGTATAATGACACAGAGTCCACCATTTTCTCCAGAGGAACTGATCTCTGCTACCTGAAGAGTAGTTGTAATTTTGAGTGATTTCCAGCCCTCACCTGGAGATTGGCAACAGTGATTCCCTGGGAGGGAATGGCTGGTTTGGAGGGTGGAGTCTATGGCATTGTACCTGTCTGAGGTCCCACCCCTCCTCAAGCCTCACCCTCTCCAGGCTCCATCCCTCAAATTTCCAGGAATTTCCCACCTGGAGTTGGCAGCCCTAGCAGGACTGGCCCCAATGAGTTTTCTCCCAAAGGCCAATATAGGTGTGGAAAGGGCCTTTTACTGACAGAACCAAGCTTGGTTGCCTAGCAACAGGCACTGAGGAGAAAGTATGCCAGCTAGCTCTAATTAGGGACCTGGAGAGGGGAACTGATCTCTATCATCTGGAGATCAATTGTAACAGCAGGAGATCTTCAGGTCCCACCTGGAGATTGACAACCCTAGGGGAAAGTCAGCCAAAAAGCAGGGGGTTGAAAAGAATGGTGTGATGGTCACTGGGCCACCTCATGGCCAGCCAGCCATGGTGGAACCAAAAAGGAGAGAGAGCCGTTTCAGTTTATTCTGACAGGAAAGTGGCCAAGATGGCGGTGGGCAGGGGAGGGGGTTATGCTGAAAGTCCTTTGTCTTTTTACTGACAGAAGCAAGCTTGGTTGCCTACCAACAGCCACTGAGGGGAGAGTTAGTCCCACACAGGAGCCAAGAGAAGCGTCTTTGTCAAGGGAGAGAAAGCTGACTGCCAGTAAATCTGACAGGGTATAGGGGCTGAAGTGAAAATGGGCGGGGAAGAGGAGCAGACCCAGCACCTGGCCAATGGCACATGAGTACTCTTGAGTGGCGGCTGAAGGCGCAGAGGAGAAAATGGAATCCCTGTCGCTCATAATCAGTGGGGAGCTTTCCTGTACCACACCGGGCTGCCTCCTAAGCCTCCACCTGGCGGAGTGTCCATCCCCTTCACCAACTTCCTCCAGGCTGAGGCCAAGATGCTGGGTGCTGGCTCTGTGGGTGGGACTGAAGCAATGCAGCCAGGGAATTGGCAGACCTTCCAAGTGGCAGCTGAGCAAGCCAAATGCTGTGGGAGCGTGTGGAACATTCACACCAGAAGATGATTATATATAAGGAGAGATACAGAAGTTGCTTCAAAGTCAAGCTGCACCTCAGCCATCAAAAGCACAGGGGAAAGAGACAAAAATCCGAGCCCTGAGATCTAAGAAACATTAAAAACATGTGAGAAGCTCATATAAAAAGTGATAACTAGAAATCCAATGGAACTCAGGCTGCACCTTGAAGGGGAAAAAAGGGAAACTCCTGAAAAACAGATGACAAACAGACCACATGAACCAAATCCACCACCCATTTTTATGAGCCAATTCAATGTGAAGAAAGAGGGAAGCTTTGTCAGTTTCACCAACAGCTTTAAACTTAAAAGCGGCCACAAGTTATGGTACCCATAAAGTCCCATTTTACTGCACACAGTTCGCCAAACTCTCATCCAATTTTATGGCTTCTGCTGTATCACACATCATCAGGCTGGCTGTTATCTGAACATGAATAATACACAAGCACCTGAACCCTAAAGCTTAAGCACCATCAAGCAGGAAACTGGGAGACCTTTGGTTTGGCCATCCTCCCTCATCATTCATTGCTGAACTTTTAAGCCGTTTAGCCTGGAACAGTTGGCTACAAGGCTGCTCCAGACGAGAGGCTTTCGCACGCAGACATTTCTCTAATGTACTCTACAGATTTTAAACACCAGATCCCCAATATTTCATTGCCAGTTTACTTGAACATGAGACTGTGTGAGCAGGGTGAAGTGCTGCTGAGTCAAGAGCCTGTTGAGAAATGGGGCGCTCTCAAACGTGCTTCTATGCACAAAAGGTCAGCAGGCATACTTCACGGTTCAGTTCCAGGGGCTTCCATGCATACGAAATGGTTAAGAAACACTCCACGGTCAAGAACCTTGTGACTTTTTTTTTGGTGGCCATCAAGTTGCAGCTGGCTTATGGCAACCCTGTAGGGTGTTCAAGGCAAGAGATGAACAGAGGCGGTTTGCCATTGCCTGCCTCTGCGTAGCAACCCTGGGCTTCCTTGGCAGCCTCTCGTCCAAGCTGACCCCACTAAGCTTCCAAGAGCTGATAAGATCAGGCTAGCCTGAGCTACCCAGGTCAGGTTACCTTGTAAATTAGGCTGTGATAAATGTTCCATGACCCTTATTCTACTCACTTGTCAAAGGTTCAGTGCTGCCAAAAAAAGGAGGACACCTTGTTTTTCTACAAATCCCGAGAATTTAATAAGATTAAGACCGTAACCCTGTTCAAATGACGCAACCAGGTTATGTGAAAGGGAGCAATGCATGCTCAAATGGGCCCATTACCTGACATCTGTCTGTGCATTTGAAGGTCTGAAAAGATTTATTTACTTCACTAATACACCACCTTCCTCTCCAGTGGGAACCCACATCAGCTTACAACACTACAACATTCTTCTCTCCTTCACTTTATCCACACAACAACTGCATGAGGGAGGTGAGGCTGAGAGAGAGACTGGCCCAAGGTCACCCAACAAGCTTCCATGGCACAAATGGGGATTTGAACCCGGCTCTTCCGGATCTAAGTCTGGTGCTCTAACCACCACACCATGCTGGCACAGATATACATACACAGAGGATTAGGTATGTACACAGGAGGTGCTCTGCTATCAGGATCCCTGTGTGCTCAATTCATCGCCAGTGGACTGAAAAGGGAGACAGCCCATGGGACCCCACCCACACACCCGTCCACACTTTGAAATAACAGCTGAAAAAAACACTCCAGCAATCTGGAGCCTCTGTTTTCCTGGGTTCCCAGTCATCTACATGCACAGGCTCCTTGCAAAAATTCAACTGAATATTTCGTCTAAGTGTATAACACCCCCCACCCCCCCCTGAAGTATAATCAAAACAGGTCCATAGAGCAATAGAGAAAAGAACACGGAACAAACACATGTTTTGAGCTCTTCTTAATCTTAGAAATCTTTCCTTTCCCACTGATCTGCAGATGAAAATCCACCACCTCCCCAGCATTTGCTGGCTAGCATAAGCCAGTTCAGGTTGGTACAACCCATCTCCCCCACTTTGTCCTATAACATTTACATCCAGGCTTTCCTCTTGCTCTTCTTCTCGTTGAATTTACCTCCAGTCCTATTTCATACTAGCCCACCATACTCAGGACCCGACTGTACTTGCCAGTGGGCTTTATCAGCGATAAAGAAAGTGCGAAGGGCTGCTATTTGTAGTGCCCATAATACATAAACCATTTGTGCAAAGCAATGCTTCCATGCAGGGGCTCTATGAGACTGCTGCAAACATCAGGGTCCCTTTGACTTCTTTTAAAGCTGTTGCTCACGCAAATTGCAGCAGCTATGAATACAACCCCCCCCCCACACACACATAAAAGCGCTCGTTTGTAACACGTGGCACCTCCTTAGGTGCATGGCACAGCCACAAGTGGAATGATTTTCCAAGCCTTGCGCATAGAAGCCACTATCTACTTTCCTTCTACATTAGACTTTGGAAGACAGAAGGGTTAAAATCAGAGCTAAACAAGGGTTAAAATACAGAGCTAAACATATCTGATGGATTCCTAATGTTGACTAGTCTTTCCTGATGCACAGCTTCAAAGGGAATTGCTATCATCGATTATACAGCAATACCATGAAGCCCATCCTGTTTGGTTACATTTCACCAGACCACTGTCTTCTCCATATCCCTCTGGTTAAAAAATCCCTTGGAAGAAGTGAATATCACGAAGAGAACATTGATACGGTACTTGATTACTACAGCGAGAATGACTTACGCTCAGTGCTGAAAACAAGAAAAAAACACCTGAGATTTGGGAATGGATAAAAAAGATGCTTCTTATGGTAGAGATGGACAAATTGACAAGAAAACTCAATAATAAAGAGGAAGGAAGAGTTCTTTGCAGATTGGATGGATCTTAAAGAATACTTGGAGAAGCATTGGGATGTTAAAAAATAACCTATTTTGTTTTGATAATTATTAAGAATAGAAAAAACTTGTGAATAGTTGAAGAGATGATGTTATTAGTTAAAGAAATTGTTACCTATTAAGTTTTGTTTTAGTGGAAATGATGGACAAGAAGAAGTCTTTGGAGGGGGTGGGAACACTGCGGGAAGCCAGAAGAAGGGGAGGGAGGGGAAAAATAAAAAGGGGGTATAAAGTGAGTGTTGAAATGTTGTAACGTTGGACATGTTGTTATATCCTGATAATAAAATGTTGTTGTTTTTTAAAATCCCGTTGACTGTTACCCAAGCATTAGGACACAGACAGGTAATGCTACCACATGATTTAAGCCAACGACAACAGTAATGCTACCACATGATTTAAGCCAACGACAACAGTAATGCTACCACATGATTTAAGCCAACGACAACAGTGGGTGAATCTACCCACCGGATTCCACCCCTCTGCCAAGGGTGCTTGCTCCCCTGGACGCTGCCAGTGTGGTGCAGTGGTTAAAGAGTCAGACTAGGATCCGAGAGACCCAGGTTCATATCCCCATTCTGCCACGGAAATTTGCTGGGTGGCCTTGGGCCGTCACACACTCTCAGCCTAACCGACCTCACAGGGTTGTTGTGAAGATACAGTAGAGGAGAGGAGAATGCTATTATCTGTTTTGGGCCCCCACTGGGGAGAAAAGGTGGGGTACAAGTGTAATAAAATAATCTCCGTGACGATCTTGTGAGGAACAAAG